GCTAATTGTAATTACGAGACAAATATTAAACGCTATTTTAAACGACACGTTTTAAAACATAGTTTCTAAAGAAATTGTGATTGTGAGACACAGTTAAACAACACCTTTTTAAGGAACCGTTTTTTACAAGGAGCAAATTTCTTGTTTCGTTAAGTTAAATTAATATTAATTCTGCATCTAAATATTTATGGTTGTGGAAACATTTAAGTATCAATTATCTCAGAGTAAGACATAAAGATACAGATGCTTGGGCCTGTTCAAAGCGTGTCAACATATTTTTGTTTATAAATATTGAAGTCCCATTTCTGAGATCCAATTATCTTTATCTCTTTCTCTGGGATTTTTTTAATTTTCTTGTAGCTGTTAGAAAATATTACAATTAGAAATAGACATTTGTTTAGATTCTGAAAACTCATGTTGATTTATACCACTCAAAAATCGGCAACTACATATTTTTGAAGGGTTTAAAGATGTTACAGAATGGTTCATAAAAATGCCCCGGAAGAGCCAATCGCGTCGCGTGGGCTGCAAAGATTACAATCATTGAGGTAGAAAACTAATGGAGGGAATATAATGGTAGAGGGGGTAAGAATTTTTGTAGACGGAAGTTGCCACAGATAGAGGCCACTCGCGTGGATCGGTTCCCGTGAAGGTACATTTTGGCCGACATTATTTGACATATGAAAACGCGGGTCCTGTCACTGTCAGTTTTCCACCAAATTCAAATTTTATTAAATTTGCCATTTTACAGTACCTAATAATTTCGGATCGGTTTGTGCTCTGGTTTATATAAATAACTAACTGCCGCATAGTGTTTTTATCACACGCAATTTTGTGAATTGAGAAAGATTAGCTGCGTATCATGCAAAATTTCTCATAAAGGGAAGAAACAGGGCATTTCCTTTCATCGGTAAGACATGTCATTTATCATGTTGTAGGTACCTAGTTTATGTTTCTTAGTTTTCCAAACGAACCAGTACTTCGAGCAAAATGGATACCTAACATTTGTAAATATATCTCGAGAACTGCTCTCAAAATTTACTTTTGTGCTCACAACGCTTCATTGCTGTGATTTCGACCAAAGGTTGCACCGGAAAATGTTCATCAAGTATCTCGTCAAATATGCAGTAGGTACTATCAAAACTTGTAATGAAGCTGAGACCAACCAGAAATTGTAGCTATTGATCAACAAAATTTAATGGGAGTTGTCAAGTTGTAGTGGCTATAGTATAAAACTGGCCTTAATTATACTACTGGAACACATCGATGTATATTTAGATTTGTAATCAATGATTATATTAAATCTGCATACTTTCCCATCCTTGTCTATTTTGTTTACTTTACCACGAGCATGTATTTTACTCCTTCTATACGTTTTTTTTGTTATTATTCCTATTAGTGGAAAGAAAATTATATCTCTACGCCACTGAAGTGAGACGCTAATGATAACGGAAGTGGTGTGGTACTTTAATCACAGTTAGAGGCCACTTTTGGTTCCCGTGGTCTACGTCTGGCGAAGCATTTGATTCCCTCCATTTGTTTTCTAACTCAATGATTACAATACATTTTGTTGCAAATGAATGAATACACACCTTAATGATAATAATAATAGCAATGGCATACGCTTAGGGAAAATTATAAGGTTAACTCCTCTTTCCCCATTTTTCTGGTTTTGATTGCGCGTTGATCTACATGTTATCATAACCTCACATTGTGGATATTATAAAGAAATCGGAACCACACATATCTTGAAGTATATATAAAAAAGTAGGAAGAGCAAAAGATGTTAGTTGAATTGAATACGCTAAGTATATATGTTGGATAATTGATGCATGTGGATTCGCTTTTACGTACTTAATCTAATAGGGGATACAGTCTAAAACAAAAACCATTACTCCGCCACTGGAAATGAGACGCTATCAATCTGAATTTACCCCGGTACGTGAGCTACGGCCAGAGGTATGAGAGCAATGGCAAGAAATTTGTTTGTTAAAATAGTCAACTTAAATTTTTAACAAAAACGTAATTCAACACATTTCTTGAGATATGGACGGAAAACCACTAATTAAAATTGAACCAAAACAAGAAGAAGAAATCCATTCCGATCTTCAAGATAACGTTTTAGTAAGCAATGAAGCATTGGTTACACTAAAGGAGGAAGTTACCATTACTCCACAGTGCTCCAAATTACTCGATGAAGAAGTACAACAGCAAACTGATTATGGATGGAGTATTAAAACTGAAGCTTCCAACGATTTTGAGAGTAACTTCAGTCAACACGCAACGAATAGTAAGCTGCAACAACTTTTCAAGCAAAATGTTTCAGAAGGCTTTAGCTGCGCTCATTGTAATTATGGAACAAAGAGTAAGCAACTGTTTCAACGACACATTTTAACACACAAACGTAATGCTCTGCAATGTTCTATTTGTGATTACAAGACAAGTAATAAATATCACTTTAAACGACACCTTTTAACACATACCGACTGCAAAGATTTTAAATGTGGCGTTTGTGATTACGAGACGAATGATAAATACTGTTTTAAACGACACCTTTTAAAACATACCGATTCTAAAGATTTTAATTGTGGTATTTGTGATTATGAGACAAATCAGAAGAACAGCCTTAAACGACACCTTTTAACACATACCAATGCTAAAGATTTTAAATGTGCCAATTGTGATTACGGGACAAATAACAAATACTGCTTTAAACAACATCTTTTAAAGCATACCACATCTAAAGATTTGAAATGTAATAATTGTGATTACGAGACAAATAACAAATATTGCTTTAAACAACACCTTCTAAAACACACAGTTTCTAAAGTTTTTAATTGTGCCAATTGTAATTATCAGACAAATCAGAAAAACAACTTTAACAGACACCTTTTAACACATACCACTTCCAAAGTATTTAAATGTGCTAATTGTGATTATGAGACAAATAACAAATATTGCTATAAACAACATCTTTTAAAACATACTGATTCTAAAGATTTTAAATGCGCTAATTGTAATTATGAGACAAAAAACAAATACTACTTTAAACGACATCTTTTAACACATATCGATTTGAAAGATTTTAAATGTGCTCATTGTGATTACAAGACTAATAACAAATACCACTTTAAACGGCACCTTTTAATACATAACGATTCAAAAGATTTCAAATGTGCTCATTGTAATTACAAGACAAATGTGAAAAACAACTTTACACAACACCTTTTAAATCATGCCATTTCTAAAGATATTAAATGTGCTAATTGTGATTACGAAACAAATAACAAATATTATTTTAAACGACACCTTTTAACACATACCATTGCTAAACATTTTAAATGTGCTAATTGTGTTTACGAGACAAACCAGAAAAACAATTTTAAACGACATCTGTTAAAACATACCAATTCTAAAGATTTTAAATGTGCTAATTGTGATTACGAGACAAATAACAAATACTACTTTAAACGACATCTATTAACACATACTGACTCCAAAGATTTTAACTGTGCTCATTGTGATTACAAAACAAATAGCAGATACTGCTTTAAACGACACCTTTTAAATCACACCGGTTTGAAAGAGTTTAAATGTGCTCATTGTGATTATGGAACAAACAATAAACAATATCTTAAAGGACACATTTTAACACACAAACTTTCGGCTAATGTAAATGTGGCAAAATGTGCTAATTGCAATTACGAAACAAGTATCAAACGCTACTTTAAACAACACATTTTAAAACATAAAGTTTCTAAACTTTTTAAATGTGCTCATTGTGATTATGAGACACATAACAAATCCTGTGTTAAACAACACCTTTTAAAGCACAAAAAACAAAGTTAAATATTAATTCTTTAGTGTGTGGCTTCATGATACGTGTCCTAACTTACGTTATGTTGGCGGTCCGTGTGGCGTAGTTCAGTCTGAACTGTGGTTCTAACGGTCCCTGGTTCACATCCGGGTTAGGCGTGAGTATTTGTAAATGTACAGTGGGTTGGGTTGGTAGAGCAACCTTGCCTGAAACATTTAAAATTTTGACTAAATATTTGTAGATGTGGAAAAATCAAATATCTCAGTGCGACATCGTTTTGTTCACGAGATCTCACATAACATACAGTACATAATCTATGTACATTCTCCAACTTTCAGCTGTTCGAAGATATTAGAAATAGGCATTTATTTGCTTAATTTTAGAAACTCATGTCGATTTAATTTAAAGGATATAAGAAATAATAAATTTTTTCATTTACAAATTTTGAATTCAATTGTGTTAAAAAAAGACTACATAGGTATTTTACATCACATCTACAATATACAAAAATGAACAATCCGAGGAAGTAGCCCTTGATATTGAATAATTTAAATTTGACGTTAATTTGATACAAAAATTATGATAAGCTAAAGAATGACCATCCCAAGCAAATTTAAAAGCAACTTCAAACCTTTCCCATTTGTGAAGCGTAAGAGTGTAAGACTCCGAAGTCTCTTATATAAAGTACATGAAATGCATTGTTAATTAGCCGACCCTCCTCCAGTCCGGAAGGTATCTGAAGATTCTGGATAAGGTAACCTTAGACTAAAGTTGTAATTAATGTCGCTAAGCATCTTAATCACTTCGGCATCTACCTCTACACGGACGAAACAGTTAATTACACTCAAAAAAGGCAGATTCGTACACAAAGAATTGAAGTCGCTAATCAATCTAAATGAAAATTAATAACTGGTCAATCTCAAACAAATCAGTAGGGTGCAGTGAAACTTGCTGCTTTGAAACAACCTAAAAAAAAGGCAGACCAAGAATCCGATGCAGACAAACACTGTTAAAACAGGCTTCTACTGCCTTTCCGATAGAATTCAAGGGTGGTGCTTGCAGAATCGCTAAATAATAAAAAAGCGCAGGAAGATCTAGTTTTTCAATATAATTACGAACAAAAAAATTGATTCCCCTTGTGTATGAAGTATGTCGTAGTAAACGTGGCAACGCTGCGCGAACTTTAACCTAAACAAAATTTGTTTGTCATTTTCTTCCTATTTATCCAAAGAATACTATTGTAGTGGTTTTCTGAGGCAGGAGAGTTTGCATAGAGTTAAAGAAAGTACGGGAACTCATTGATAACCATGTCTGCGGATGACTGCACTTCCTTCGTTCCCATTGAACCGAAACAGGAAGAGGAAATCACCGAGTCCATGCAGGAGGACGATTTTATAAGCAATGAAGTTTTGCAAAATATAAAGGAGGAAAGTACGGACAATGGTAACGAGGAGGAGGGCGAACTTTTCTTGAACGGTAAGCAAATCCTGGTGGTATGTGACGAATTAGTCGAAGAGGACGACTCGACGGTGATGTGCCATTGTGGTAATTGCCCGTACTCAACGCCATGCGAGAAAAGCATCAAAGGACATTTTTTAGAGTGCGTTAATTCGAAAGAATCCCCAAGTGGACCATATTATTACACTGCGTTGGTGAAGAATGGACGAAGTACTTCGAAAATGTATCATTGCAGTCTGTGCTCTTATTCAACAAAATTCAAAGCAAATCAGACTAAAAAACATGGTTTGACACACACATCAACAAGAGCCCCGAAATGTGATCATTGCAATTACTCGACGAATAATCGGCACAATTTAAACCAGCACCTTCCGACTCATGGAATTTTTAAAGAATTCATTTGCTCCGTTTGCAATTACAAAGCGAAGAACGCCAAAGATCTAAAACGGCACGTCTCAGACACTAAAGGTGCAAGGGAATTCAAGTGTTTCCATTGCTGCTACGTCACAAAAATTAGGCACCGTCTTGCACGCCATCTTCTGACTCATCGAACAAACCTGACTTTTAAATGTGAACAGTGTAGTTATGCAACAAGTAACAAGGACCAATTCGTGCAGCATGTCGCATCGCACCAAAGCTCCGGAAAGACGAAATGTCCTCACTGCGATTATGTAACCTACAAGCAGCCTCATTTAAAAAGACACCTTTTAAATCACAAAGCGTCTGTGGATTTCAAATGTTCTCAATGTAAGTATACCACAAATATCGAGACCAATTTCAAAACTCACCTTAAAACGCATTCTGCTAAAAACTTGAAATGTGAATTGTGCGATTATGTAACAAACGTTAAAGGGCAGTTGAGACGACACCACAAACAACACCATCAAACTTTCAAGGACTACGAGTGTCCCCATTGTGATTATTCGACAAATCTTAAGCATCATATCACACAGCACGTCAAAATACACACCGTAACTTCGAAAAGTTTAAAATGTGATCAGTGCGATTATGCCACGAATAATAAGGGACATTTAAAGCGACACGGGCTAAGACACTCCAGCTCCAAGGACTTTAAATGCACCCATTGTAATTACGAGACGAATAACAAGGAGTATTTAACTCGTCACTTACGACATCACAAAGCTTCAATCGATTTCAGATGTGCACATTGCGATTATGCCACGAATATTAAACAGTGCTTTAGGCAGCATGTCTCGACGCACAACGTTGCGGAAGATCTATACTGCGACAAGTGCAGTTATAAGACGACGAATTGGAGATACCTAAAGAACCATCTTCGACGTCACACCCGTTCTGACATCTTAAAATGTGCTCGGTGCGATTTCACGACAGTTATCGAAGAGCGTCTGAAACGTCACATCTTAATACACGACACTTCGAAATCGTGGCACTGTGAACTTTGCAGTTATAAAACGAACGTCGAGTCGTACTTTAACAAACATCTGCTAAACCATAAAAGCATATTCAAATGTTCCCATTGCTATTACAGGACCCACTTGGAAAAGTATTTAAAACGGCATCTTCAAAATCACGCCGCGCATTCCAGGAATTTCAGTTGTCTGCATTGCGATTACTCGACGCCAGTGAAACACTCTCTGATAAAACACATCGTCAATCATAGGGGGATGGAAGATGTTAAATGTGACAAGTGTGATTACGTAACGCATAACAAAGGCAGTTTGAAACGCCACATCCTAAAAAATCACACTGATTCAAAGCACTTTCGCTGTTTTCATTGTGATTATATCACGAAGAGTAGATACTATCTCATAAGTCATCTCCCGAGCCACAAGTCCAAAGAATTTAAATGTGAACAGTGCAATTATCAAACGTATAACAAGAGAAATTTGCAGAGTCATGTCTTGAAACACACAAATAAAAATGTGTTTAAATGTGATCATTGTGATTATACTACATCATGGAAGAGGCATTTACCAAGACATCTACTAAAGCACCAGTGAGGGTTTGGAACATGTCTTCCACTGGTTATCCCACACGCAAGTACATAGCTTTATTTTATTTGTGAGTGGACGGGGTTTCAGCCAAGGCTGCTGTACCAACCCAACCCACTATAAGTATGCCAGGACCCGGATTCGAACCAGGGATCCCTAGTACCACAGTCCAGCTTCAACTGAACTGCGCCACACGGGCCGGCCTTCCATATCTATATTTCTTACTTATAAATATAAATAAACATAAATGGCTTCAGTTATGATATACCTACAAGAAATGTCATCTCGATTTAAATTTCTAAAATGTGATATCCAACTCCTTATTTTCTTCAGACAAATTTATATTGAGTATGTGTATTTGTCACTGGAAAAGAATCAAATTGGTAGAAATGGCAAACACTGTATGTAGATTATGACCTAATTAGCATAAATCTAACGTATTCATTATAAGTTTGTAAACATCTATTGTGTTTTCAGAAGAAATTTATTTCATGTATCTTTATTAGTGAACAGACAGAAGGTGTTTTGTATCTGTTCAAATAACATCAGAAAAAAATGAAAGCGAAATCGGCAAATCTTCGGAAGTAATCGGAATTTTCCGGTTTTCTTTAAAGCGTGATAATAACACTAATCGCGCATCGTCGTATCTTCTATAGTTTCGGAGATCCTCACGATAAACATACATCGATTTGTACGGACAATTCGCGGTCGAGTATTAATTACGGTTTTAGTATACCATTTATCTTAGTGTCAGACGTTAGACTTTGCTAACCGCAATATTTTTGTGCAGCGCTATTCACTATCCCTCTTGTTGGTTTGTTGTAATCTGTTACAGATAAGGCAGAAAGCGCACTTCTGAGCTCAAAAGGCTGTTACAACCTCGATATAACGTTTGATTACATACTGGTTTTCCATACAATCGAATTGTAAATACTACAATTGTTTGATAGTCATTTAACAATTACAGCTCCGTTGTTTTCTGGGAAACTGGATATTGCCCCTGACTAACGTGTTGGTCCCTTTTTTTTTGTTGCTAAAAATTGATTTAAATTTAAACATCGGCAATTCAGATCTAGATATTATAGTGTCCTATTGAGATCATTTATTGAATTACCCTCGATTGTAACATCAATTCTTGTTTACGTTCTATTCCTGTCCTTAGAATTTCCTCCCATTTCGTCATATTTCTCAAGAATTTATTCGTCACACAATTTTGTTCTCGAAGCAGCTTTCATTTAAGGATTTCTAAATCTTTCGCCATGATTCCTTAGTAGATTCGTATTTCCTCTAAACCCTTTCTTATTTCCTCAAAATTTCCTCTACATAATAATAATATACAATAATTTTTTTTACCCCTAAGTCATATGACGAACGGTTCTCGAGATATGGCCGAGGAACAGTCTTATTGGGTCACCCGATACATTAATGCATTTACCACCTTACTAATAATTCATATCATTCGCATTAGGGACAATAAAGAAATCATTGTATACCGAACAGAGTGACGTAAAGATTGTAAAGACAAGTCTGATCTATTATTGTTGTGACGTAACAATGTGCAGTTATGGCAATAAATGTGCTCGTGGAGCCCCCAATTAAGCTCAGTTTCCACATAATGACATTTGTATAATAACTGTGTGCCTAGTAACACTCCTCCCCTGACATTGATCACTTGAAGACACGGCACTGAAGACAATTAAGAGATGGGTCGCCGCATATGAATAAGGCGGTCCTCGGTTGCGGATGCTACACCCCTAAAGTAGAAGGTTCGAGGGTCCTCGGATCCTTTTGTACCTTAGCTCTAGAATTCTAGCATCCGAGTTCCCTCTCACGGTAGGAAGATATTAGTTACGTACAGCAAGGCACACACATTCGTGAGTGTTACGAGTCACCCTAACCTAAATACACAAAGCATTATATGCCCTACTTCACGGAAGACAAGGTTCAACATTTATGTGCACCATATAACTCGGATAAACGTGGCATAAAATAAACCTGAGATATCGAAATGCGATATTACCGCTACCAGAAACAAGTGACGCCAAACCAAACATCCAGCGGCAATTACAAAAAATATATCAACGGATGGTGACGGCGGTGGCTCATATCCCCACAATCTACTTAACTGGTCTGGTTCCATCCGATGATGAAGTATACACGGTATTTGGAGGATATTGACATCTCAATGCTTGAAGAATGGCTAAATAATAAACAACGCGCAAGGAAAATTTAAGTTATTCAACATACGAAAAACAATCATCTTGTGTATGACGTACCAAAAGTGGCAACGCTGCGTGAACGTAACCTCAAAAAATTTGTTTTTTTTTCTTCATTTGTGCATTCAGTGGCGTTAGGATTTGCGTAAGACCAAATGTAAGTAGTTAATAAGTTTTTGTACTCATTGTAAATTCTTCGTAGCTGTAACCATGTCTGAGGAAGACTGCTTTGTTTTTCTTGAACCGAAACAAGAAAAAGAAATCAATGAATCCATAGACGAGGATGATTTTGTAACCAATGAGATCTTGGCGAATATAAAAAAGGAATGGACGGAGAATGGTAACAAGCAGGAGGCTGAACTTTACTTGCATTCTGCGCAACCCCTTGCATTTATAGAAGAGAAAATCGGTGACAATGCAACAGTGATGTGCCATTGTGGTAGTTGCCCGTACGTGACTGCATGCAAGAAGAGCATCAAAGGGCATTTTTTACAGTGTGCCAATTCCAAAGAGTCCCCGAGTGGACCATATTATTACACTGCATCGCTGAAGAATCAACAGAACATTTCTAAAGTGCTTCATTGCGGTCTGTGCTCGTATTCAACAAAATACAAAACTAATCAACGAAAGCATGGTTTCACACACAAATCGAGAACACTGAAATGTGATCACTGTAGTTACTCAACGAATAATCAGCAATATTTAAATCAGCACCTTCAGAAACACGGCATATTTAAGGAGTTCATTTGCTCCCTTTGCAATTACAAGGCGAAGAATGCCAAAGACCTAAAACAACACGTCTCATACACTAAAGATCCAAGGGAATTCAGGTGTTTTCATTGCGATTACGTCACTAAAATGAAACACTGCCTGACACGTCATCTCTTAACACATCAGAAAATCAGACAGCTGGATTTCAAATGTGAACAATGCAGCTACGCAACGGATGACAGGACAGTTTTAAAACGACATCGACTAACGCACTCCTCCAAGGACTTTAAATGCACCCACTGCAATTATGAGACGAATATCAAGATTTATTTATCTCGACACCTACTAAATCATAAAACCTCGATCGATTTCAGATGTGCACACTGCGATTATGCCACGAATATTAAACAGTGCCTTAAGCTGCACGTCTTGACACACAAAGTTGCCAAAGATCTATACTGTGACAAGTGCAGTTATAAGACGACGAACAAGATGTACCTAAGAAAACACCTCGTACGTCACACGCTATCCGAAGTCTTCAAATGTGTTCTGTGCGATTTCGCAACGGGTGTTAAACAACGTCTGGAACGTCACCTCTTAATTCACGACACCTCGAAATTGTGGCAATGCGAGATTTGCAATTATAAGACAAACGTTGAGCCGTACTTTAATAAACATCTCTTAATACATAAAAGCATATTCAGATGCTCCCATTGTCATTTTAAAACGCACCTGGAGAAATATCTACGACGACATCTCCTACATGGCGATCACAAGGTGACGAAAGATTTCAAATGTGATGAGTGCGATTATGTGACGCATCACAGGGGTACTTTCAACTATCACCTAAAAATTCACAATAAATCCCAACAATTTAAATGTGAACAGTGCGATTATCAAACACATAACAAGAAAAATCTGAAGAATCATGCCGTCAGACACACAAACTCGAGTGTGTTTAAATGTGACCATTGTGATTTTTCGACGTCTTGGAAGAAGTATTTACCGCAACATCTGCTGAGGCACAAGTGAGGAAGTTGCTTCGTGTCTGACACTACATAGGTCAATGAGTTCTCTTGTTTTGAATTGGACAGAAACCAAGAACTGTAGTAGAGCTGTATCCGTCACGTCTATAATATTTTATTTGTTATTCACTTATAAATAACAGTGAACAAATATTGTGAAAGTAGGACAAAGGATTAAGCTCAAATTTCTGTTTTTACTCATCTATTTGTCACCAGAAATAAGAAAAATCTGCATGTTATGTTCAATTACGTCTACAAAAACCTGCCTCCAATCATGCGCCTCGCGTGACGACTATTGGTACTACGCGACGGACGACCATGCTATACCGGTACTTGAGCTACAGCCAGGGCTATGCGAGATCATGTCATCTACGGTGTGTCCCAGATAAAACGCACTATGGACAAACAGAATTATTGTATTTTTTCGCGAATGATCCGCGAAGCTTTTGATATTGCAGTGTACTTAACCCCCAGGTTCTACGCTAACTTCACACTACAAGAACACGGAAATAAAGTCAACCCGGCAACGCTTAAAAATGGCCACTCGATTGACTATTCCCTCCAAAACTAAACAAGATCACTCTTAAATTTGAAAAGTGGCACGTAATCAAACATCTAAAGCAGGACGTTAGTTGTAGACAACGCTTTGACCTGAAGCACAGTAGGGAAGGAACGTAAAATAAAACCCTCAAATTGTGAAAAGTTTGTGTTTAATAATGATCGCAATTATTAAGATTGTTAACGCTCGGAAATTTTGAGTCGAAATAAATTACATTGCAAAAATAAACTTTTGAAAATGGTAGTTCACAGAATCAAAATAGAAATAGGCTGGGAAAAAAAAGAACTTACCAATAAAAAAACCAGCCGTCAAATTAATATCAAATTGTGTTGTAAAATTAATTGTTTGTAAAGATGTGAATGCGTAACATAAAATTATAACATCACAAAAAGTAGCAGGTAAACTTCAAGAGGTAACATATATAGGTCCAAAACAAGTTTTGGGAATAATGGGTGTGGCTCATCTTTGGTGCAACAAAGTCCTTTTGTTAAAAGCAAGATGGGAAATTACGCGGGCTTGTAGGCAAATTTAACTAAAAACACGATATGTGGAAATTACGAATCGTAACTCATTTATTGCACATAGATTCTAAACTGAAGAGCTTTGATTAGCGTAATCCCGCTCCGGAAAGATAGGTCCCCGCCCCTGGTTTCGAGCCTACAGTTGAATGTCGAAGACAATCACGGAATTAGGTGTCGTAGCTCAATTTTGACTACAGTTCTTACCACCACCGTGACTGCTTCATTCACGGAGAAAATGTTAGTTACAAACAACAAGTCAGTACATACATCAAACAGATCGGTAATGTCTTGTTTGAAATTTTCGAATATCCTGTCCTCAACCGTTAATCCGATAGTTGCCATTGCCAGCTCATTTTTCGACTAGAACTTGTGTGGTTTACACCCAAAAGCCTACCTTAATTGAATTACGTTGGCATTTTTTTACAAGCTCGGAGCAGGAAGCACATAGACGGACGGACATCGAAGGCGAAGCGTAAATACAAAAAAAAACGGATTGAGGAAAGTAAAAACTCAGGAGATAAAATTAATCGTTTTTATCTTTACTTAGCATGGTCGTTCTGACAAATTAACGAAAAAAATTTTAATCAAAATTTTCCTGACGCTCTTCTTTTGTTTACTATAGATGCAAGATTTATTCGCAATTGAGGGGAAAACCAGAGTTAGAGAATGAGGTATAAAATAAAACCCAGCGATACGCCACTGGAATATTATTGAGAACTTGACCTTTATCGGTACCAGAGCCACAGCCGGAGTTTTAGCGACGTCTGTACCCTAGACAAGCTGACACAGGTAACAAATTTTGATAATAAAAAACGATACTGTTATTGATTGTAGATATGGACGGAAATGATGTCGTACCATTCATTAAAATTGAACCAAAACAAGAAGAAATTCATTCCGATATTGAAGGAAACATTTCAGTAAGTAAGGAAGCCTTGGTTACAATAAAGGACGAAATTATAAAGGATGAAATTACCAATACTGCACAATGTTCCAAATCGCTCGATAATGAAGAAGTACAACAAACTGATTGTGGATGGATTACTAAAACTGAAATTTCCAAGGATTTTGAATGTGACTTCGGTCAACACACAACAAATAGTAAGCTGCAAGTTAAACAACAATTTTTAAAGCAAAATGTTTCAGAAGGATTTAACTGTGCCCATTGTGATTATGGAACAAATAATAAATCCTACTTTAAACGACATCTTTTAAAACATACAGATTGCAAAGAATTTAAATGTGCTAATTGCGATTATGAGACAAGCAACAAATACCACTTTAAACAACATCTTTTAATACATACAGATTCTAAAGATTTTAGATGTGCTAATTGCGATTACAAGACAAATAACAAATACTACTTTAAAAAACACCTTTTAAATCACACCGGTTGTAAAGTTTTGAAATGTGTACATTGTGATTATGAGACAAATCACAACAGCAACTTTAAACAACACCTTTTAAATCATACCGATTTTAGAGAATATAAATGTGCTAATTGTGATTACCAGACAAATAACAAATTCCACTTAAAACAACACTGTTTAAATCACACAGATTCTAAAGATTTGAAATGTGCCAAATGTGATTATGAAACAAATAACAAAAGCAACTTTAAACAACACCTTTTAAATCATACTGATTCTAAAGAATTTAAATGTGCTAATTGCGATTACATGACGAGTAACAAATACTACTTTAAACAACATCTTTTAAAACATAATGATTCTAAAAATTTGAAATGTGTTAATTGTAATTACGAGACAAATAACAAAAGCAGCTTTAAACAACACCTTTTAAATCATATCGATTCTAAAGAATTTAGATGTGCTAATTGTTATTACCAGACAAATAACAAATACCACTTTAAACAACACGTTTTAAATCATACCGATTCTAAAGACTTTAAGTGTGCTAATTGTGGATATGAGACCAATAACAAATACTACTTTAAACGACATCTTTCAAATCACACCGATTCCAAAGATTTGAAATGTGCTCATTGTGATTACGAGACAAATAAGAAAAACAACTATGAACGACATCTTTTAACACATATCGATTCTAAAGATTTTAAATGTACCAATTGTGAGTACCAGACAAATAACAAATACCACTTTAAACAACACCTTTTAAATCATACCGATTCTAAAGATTTTAAATGCGCTAATTGTGATTACAAGACGAGTAACAAATTCTACCTCAAACAACATCTCATAAATCACACTGATTCCAAAGATTTTAAATGTGCCAGTTGTGATTACAAGACAAATAATAAACGCTACTTTAATCGACATATTAAAAAACATAAAGTTTCTAAAGATTTTAAATGTACCCACTGCGACTATGAGACACATAACAAATTCTGTTTGAAACAACACCTTGTAAGGCACAATTAATTTATTAATATTTATTCTGTAGCATATGGTCTACATGTCCTAACTTATTTTAATAAGATTTAAAATGTTGTCTTTATGTTTGTTTATGTGGTAATGTAGCGATTATCTCAGAACAAGACATAAAAATAGAGATGCCTTGGGCCCGTTCAAAGCGTGTCAATATCTCATTATTGAAGGCAGCATGCGGAAGGTCGACTGCAGTATTGAGGGCACTGGCAACTTATCACTTAATTTTCTCGTTTAAAACGTATTTGATTGGTTCATAATATATTGGAGTCTTGAAATAGAGAAGAGGCGCATTATTTGTATTACTCATCGAAGTATTATCTTTAATCAATCCTGAACTTTGAAAACATAAATCTTATGGCCCTTTAATAGGTACTTATTACGCTTATTTATATAAACGAGGTCCTATGCTACCGACCGAAGCTCCTCCGCCTATCGCAGTGTGTGCTTACGTTAATGTTCGCGTATGAGTCCTCCATTTTTACTTGCTCTGAGATTTTAACAAGATTTGTCTAGTTTTAGTTGTTAAGAGGATGTTAGAATTAGAACTAGATTTGCTTGTAGATATTCATGTTAATTTAAAACGTTTTTTAAAGATAAAGAAATAATAAACGTGTAAATAAATGTAGGAATCGAGCTCCCGGATATGGCTACAGCATGCGCAAAACCAAATTTTGAACCTTTGCTTTTATTCCAAGTGCATATGTATTAAATGTCATTTAAATTCTTTCATAAATAATAATGTTGGCATTGCGCGTGCGCAAAACGCAATTTTGAAACTGGTGTGGCAAATTGGGGTGAATCACCTCGTGGAAGTGGGGGGAAAAAGGAATCCGTGGAGAAAGCAAACTAGCGATTCTAAAATATTCAAACACTTATTTAAACCCAAAAACGCCAATGTTTTGTTCGCCATAGACAAAAGAAAACCGGAGGGGATACAGTATAAAATAAATCTCATCGGTACGCCAATGGAGTAATAGGCTAGTGAGCTGTGAACCAGACCAGTACCTGAGCTACAGACAAAGTTGTGCTATGTCAGAGCTTATCACGTCTTGTTATGTAGAGGAGCAAGAAGCTAGACATGGATGGAAAAGATGTCGTACCACTCATTAAAATAGAACCAAAACATGAAGAAGAAATCCATTCGGAACTTCAAGATAACATTTTAATAAGCAACGAAGCATTGGTTGCAATCAAGGACGAAACTGCACAGTACCCCAAGTCGCTTGATACTGAAGAAGTACAACAACAAGCTGATTGTGGATGGAATTTTAAAACTCAAATTTCCAATGATTTCGAGTGTTACTTCGGTCAACACACAACAAATAGTAAGCTGCCAGTTAAACAATATCGTTTAAACGACAAAGTTTCAGAAGGCTTTAGCTGTGCTCATTGTGATTATGGAACAAAGAATAAACGATATCTTAGACGACACGTTTTAAAGCATACCGATTCTAAAGATTTTAAATGTGCCAATTGTGATTACCAGACAAATTACAAATTCTGCTTTAAACAACACCTTTTAAGTCACACTGATTCAAAAGATTTTAAATGTGCTGATTGTGATTACAAGACAAATAACAACAGCAACTTTAAACGACACCTTTTCCAGCATACCAAATTTAAAGATTTGAAATGTAGTAATTGTGGTTACAAGACGAGTAACAAATACTGTTTCAAACAACACCTTTTAATTCACTCCGATTCCAAAGTTTTCAAATGTGCTAGTTGTGATTACGAGACGAATAAAAAAAGCAACTTTCAACAACACCTTTTAAATCATATCGATTCTAAAGATTTTAAATGTGCCAATTGTGATTACCAAACAAACAACAAATACTGCTTTAAACAACACCTTTTAAAACATACCGATTCTAAAGGTTTGAAATGTGCTCATTGTGATTACAAGACAAATCAGAAAAACAACTTAAAACGACATCTTTTAACACATACCGATTTTAAAGGTTTTAAATGTGTTCATTGTGATTATGCCACAAATCAGAAACACAACTTTAAACATCACCTTTTAAAACATGAAGTTTCTAAAGATTTTAAATGTCCTAATTGTGATTACAAGACGGGTAACAAATACTACTTTAAACAACACCTTTCCAACCACACAGATTCTAAAGATTTTAAATGTGCTCATTGTAATTACAAGACAAATAATAAGCGCTACTTTAAACGTCACCTTTTAAGACATAAAGTTTCTAAGGATTTTAAATGTGCTCATTGCAGTTATGAGACACATAAGAAATTTTGTCTTTTACAACACATTGTAAGGCACGCAAACCGCATTTTTCGATAAGTTCTGTATATTTAATTCTATAGTGTGTGGCATCATAAGATGTTTGTGTATGTGGTAGCATTTAAGTAGTCCCCCAAAGACGTTCTTGTTTATATTTAAGTTTGGTATTGTTAGTTTTAGGAATGTTTTGGGTTGCCTTTGAAAGAGAATAGAAAAAATTAATATCAGGTCGAGACGTTCCACCCTGTATATACAACTTCGTCGATACATACGTTTTTGACAGTTGGCAATCATGCAATTTCTAGGTGGGGAAAACCTGCCTGCGCCATCTAGAAAGCACGAACGGGGGTTACGTTTGGCATCTTGCTTGTCTTGAATGGCGGTCGTGTACACGTCGCTCCATAAATGTTTTGTGTTATTCAATGCAGGTAGTAATTTTTGCATTTATTTATATCGTATTTGTGTTTTGTATGCCGCATTTTATATTTTTTGTGTTTCAATCTTTGTTTTTGAAATTTACTTGATTTAACCGCAATGCAGAATCACATACATATGTGATACCGTTATGCTATTGTTTGTAATTGTTTACGTTTATGGTGTAATGCTTGCTTAATTTATGTTTATTGATGTTGATTACTTGGTCTTGTCCCTGAAATAACATTCATATATGTTTTGATCATTTTATTTTAATATGTGGAAATTACCGATTCGTTTGATGTATATACTGACTTGTTTGTAACTAACCAATTTCTCCGTGAAGAAAGCAGTCACGGGGGTGCTAAAAACTGTAGTCAAAATTGAGTTACGACACCTAATTCCGCGATTGTCTTCGACACTCAACTGTAGGCTCCAAACCCCAAACGAGGGGCGACGCTACCTATCTTTCGGGGGCGAAATTATGCTAATCAAGACTCTTCAGTTTAGAATCCATGTTTGATATAAGAGTGGCGATTCAATAATTTCCACATATTTTTACCAATAGTTAAATTTGCCTACAAGGCCATGTAACTTTCCATCTTGCTTTTAACAAAAGGACTTTATTGCACCAAAGATGAGTCACATCCTGTGTATTTAACCCTTTCTTAGAATCCTGGTACCTGCTTACTTGACCCATAATTCCCAAAACTTGTTTTTAACCTATATGTGACCTCTTGAAGTTGTAGGGGGTCCTGCTTACTAATACAATAATCAATAACAATATTCAATAATGTTTATTAAATAAAATGCGGGGAACTGAACCACACAATGTGACTAATACAACACAATTCCATCAAACTGAATATAGTCAACCTCCTGCATGCAACTTAAAAATACATTCTACCAACTATACATAAGTACCAACTTAAACTAAAGGCGCGTAATTTCAAAATTCAAATCTTAGTTACTGCAAAGTCTACATGCTACTTTTTGTGTTATAATTTTATTTTACGCATTCACATCATTACAAAACAATTAATTTTACTACACAATTTAATATTAATTTGACGGCTGGTTTTTTTATTGGTAAGTTCTTTTTTTCCCAGTCTATTTCTATTTTTATTCGGTCAACT